TACTTGTTGCACAGGCAGTCAGTGTGTCCACCACAAGCGACAAGAAGATGATCGCAACGACTGGTTTCTGCTTTTTTTTTTCGCGCATTTTGCCCCCAATCGCGCCCACTCGAAAGAAAGGCAGTCATGGGACCACGAGCGAGCGATCCACAATTAATTAAAAACGCTCAGCCAAGAGGTAGAGAGAGAGGGAGCAATCGGGGTTGGCTAATAAAAATAACATCCCCCGCACCCCACACCGACCACGTCGGCCACCGACACTGGGGGACAATACTGTATTCATTCGTAAGCATGAATAACCGCCGCCCGCCCCACTGTCTGTATTTATTTCTTCTCCTTTTCGGGCCAAAAATAGCATAATTATTGTGGGCATCCCGACAACGATGCGCACGGATAATCTTGGTAATGTCCCCCCGCATTGTTGCTGGCTGTTGTTGTTCTGCTGTTTGTTACCTCCACGTAAAAAACGTTCCGGTCTCTGCTCAGTCAGGTACATAGTACCTTTACCAACATCCATCTGCGACCGGTGAAACTTTTTTTTGGCGCGGACATATTTTTTCTCCGTGATCACAGGACACACACATACATGGTTGTAGAGCCAAGTAGGTGCCATCGACGGTCGACGTGCTTCTCGGACTTACCCCCTACACACAGGCTGGACTAAACAGACCTAAGTTGAGAGTTTCGTATAGTCTATCACAACGGGCTTGTCTAACCTTGAACAACAACAATTATAATATCACACCCATCCAACGCTGCTCCCCAACTGCGGCAGCGACCGCGCAGCAAGCCGCATAATCACGGTTTACCGCGTGAGGTAAAATGTAAGTGTTGCCGACAGAACACTGGCTCACGGCATTGACCTACATGTACACCCACTCTATAAGATTTACCCTCCTCATGTTAGTCAACTCTGAAGCATGGCTTTGCTGTGGAGAGAGCCTTTGGTACTAGTCCCTTTATTTTCTCGGGCTAATAACACAGGGGCGGGGGGGGGGGGGGGGGGGGGGGGGCCCCCCTTTTTCCCCCCGGGCCCCCAAAAAATTTGGGCAAACCCCCCAAAAACCCCCCAAAAAATTTGGAATTTTGGCCCCTTCCCCCCGGGGACCCTGAACCCCGGGGAGGGGAAAAAGGGGGTTTCCCCCCCCCCCCCCCCTTTTAAAAAAACCCCCCCCCCCCGGAGGTAACACCCCCCAACCGGGACCAAAAAAGGCGGTTTTGGGGCCCCTTTTTCCCCCCTTTTATCCAAAAAAAAAAAGGGGGGGGCCCCCTAATT